AAAAGCTCATTGAAATGATGCTTGAAAGGCTTAAATGTTTGCAAGAGGATGAACTTTCATCCCTTGCCACTATAGTTGCAACTTGTGGTTTAAATACTGTCTTGGCAGAAGTAGAACATACAAAGCTGCACAACCCATATACTTGTTGGTAGAAGCTTCTAGTTCCAGCCCATTTTCCACAGCCTATTGCAAGAGGCTGTAAGCTACAGCAGCCACTGTGGAAATTTACAATGGTTATTTCAACCATTGTACATGAACCTCATTTAATGAGGTAGAAAATTGCACCGGGGTAGTTGGGTTTTTTACCCTATAAATACCCATGCAATGGCAAGGCAAAAAACAAGCAAAAAAGAAGCAAAGAGTGTAGCACCAAAGTGAGCAAGAAAAAGAGGGCTCCGGGAAAAGGAAAAAAAAAGGTGAGAGCTAGGCATTAAGCTTAGGTGTGAGTGTGCTCCATAGAGAGAGTACATTGAGTGATAAAAATTGTGAGTTTATCAGGATTGTGATCATATCCTGGGGGAGTGGGAAACACTAAGAGAGAGAAAAATACTTGAGTGTATACTCTGTACAATTTTATCATATAGTGAAATACCCTTCGGAGTTTGTCCCGTGGTTTTTTCCCTCAATAGTTTTTGGGGTTTTTTTCACGTAAAATTTGGTGTTATTTTGCTTGTTTATTTTCCCGCTTTAGTGGCTGGTTGAACCACCCATTTTATTTATATTTCTTAAGTGGCAGGTAGAACCGCCCATTTTATTTTGCTTGGTCGGCTAAGCCGCCTTTTTCACTAACCATTAATATTGGTCGGCTAAGCCGCCTGTTTCACCGTTCTTTGTTATTGTTCACGTGTTCTATTCACAGGAATTAATTTATTCCGTGCGCCAATTTTTCTCAACAACTGGTATCAGAGCTAGGCGCTGCTAATATTCACATGAACAATGGAGGTGAACCAGAGCAAAATGATCACGCTGAATAGTTCAAACTATCAGCTGTGGAAGGGGAAAATGGAAGACCTTCTTTATGTGAAGGAATTTCATGAGCCTGTCTTTTCAGAGCAAAAGCTAGACAGCATGAAGGATGAAGAATGGAGGCTACTTCATAGGTGAGTGTGTGGATTTATCCGGCAATGGATTGATGATAGTGTGCTGAATCATATCAATGATGAAACTAATGCACGCACACTATGGACAAAGCTAGACCAGCTTTTCTGGGCAAAGACTGGGCAAAATAAATTGTGCCATATAAAGAAATTGATGTACTCAAGGTACAAAGATGGCACATCCACAGCAGACCATGTTAATGATTTCCTTGGCATCATCAAGGAGTTAGCTAATTTGGGCATAGACTTTGATGATGAAGTAAATGGTCTGATTCTTCTCAACACCTTGCCGGAATCATGGGAGAGTTTTAGATCAACAACAATCAACTCATCTTCTGGTGGTCAAGTCACACTGGAAATTGCCAAAAACAGGATCTTTGAAGAGGAAAAAAGGATGCGGGCATTGGGAGTCTTCTCGCAACCAGATACTCAAGCTCTTGTCACGGAGAATAGAGGCAGGAGTAAAACCAGAGAACCCAGAGGACGAGGAGGCAGATCCAAATCAAAGTCCAAAAGTGGAGTGAAATGCTATCATTGTGGCCAACTAGGCCACATGAAAAGGAATTGCTACTTGTTGAAAGGAAAAGACAAGAAAAAGGTTGAAGATAGCAATACAACTGTTGTAGCATCTACCAGTGGCGGTGACGTGACTCTACTATGTGATCGTGGGGAGTGCTGCCATGTAGAAAGCTCAGATGCTAAGTGGATAATTGATTCTGGTGCCTCTTATCATTGTGTTCCCAAAAGGGAATATTTTTTAACATACAAAGCAAGAGACTTTGGCACCATAAAAATGGGAAACAAGAGTGTTTCTCATATTATGGGAGTTGGTGATATCTGTGTCCAGACAAATGTTGGGTGCACATTGACACTAAAAAATGTGTGACATGTTCCTGATATGCGTATGAACTTGTTGTCTGCAAAAGCACTGGATGAAGAAGGATACGCACACTACTTCGGGAATGGCAATTGGAAACTCACTAAAGGATCATTGGTGGTGGCAAAAGGAAGAGCATGTTGCTCATTATACAAGACACACATGAAAATGTGTGGAGGTCAACTGAACACAGTTGAAGATGAGGCTTCTCCAAATTTATGGCATAAAAGATTAGCTCACATGAGTGAGAAAGGATTGCAATTTGGGCTAAGCAGTCCCTTGTTCCCATTGCCAAAGGTGGACATGTGAATCCTTGTGATGTTTGCCTATTTGGAAAGCAACATCGAGTTTCTTTTCAGAAGAATTTGATTCGGAAGGAGAACAAGCTAGACTTGGACTACTCTGACGTTTGTGGTCCCTTGGAGGTAGAGTCATTTGGTGGCAATAAATATTTTGTTACCTTTATTGATGATGCAACTTGGAAGACTTGGGTATACTTGTTGCAGAATAAAAGCCAAGTTTTCAAGTATTTCCAGCATTACCATGCTATGGTGGAAAGGGAGACAGGGTTGAAGTTGAAATGTCTCCGTACAGATAATGGAGGGGAGTACACCTCTAAAGAATTCAGAGACTACTGTTCCAAGCATGGCATGAGGCATGAGAAGACAGTTCCTGGCACACCACAACACAACGGTGTTGCAGAACGGATGAACCGTACCATTGTGGAGAAAGTTCGATGCATGCTAAGAATGGCAACTCTACCTAAGCCATTCTGGGGTGAAGCAGTCAACACAGTAGTTTATTTGATCAACTGGTCGCCTTCAATTCCTTTGAATTTTGAAATCCCGGAAAAAGCTTGGACGGGAAAGGACGTTGGATACTCTCACTTGAGAGTGTTCGGGTGCAAAGCATTTATGCACGTACCAAAGGAACAGAGATCAAAGTTGGATGATAAAGCCATTCCATGCATTTTTGTTGGATATGGTGATGAGGAGTTTGGCTATAGACTATGGGACCCAGAAAAGAAGAAAACTGTCAGAAGTAGAGATGTCGTGTTTCATGAACATGAGAAAATTAATGATTTGAAGGAAGAAAAAGCTACAAGAAGCTCTGGAGAGGGTGTAGAAGATCTAACACTGGCAAAAACTCCTTCAAGAAAAATTACAAATGAAGAAGAGGTGCAAGCACCAGAAGATGAGACATAGGAGCCAACAATTGAAGAAGATGAAGCAAATGTAGATGGGGGAAATGATGAGCAAGGGGAGCAACCCCTGCCACAAGAGGAAAAACCTCAGCTAAGAAGGTCCACCAGAGAGCACAAACCATCTACAAGATACTACAATTCTGATTATATCCTAATCACTGAAGAAGGGGAGCCAGAGAACTTCCAGGAGGTGCAGTCTCACAAAGATAAAGACTACTGGATGAAGGCCATGCAAGATGAAATGAAATCCCTACACAAGAACAATACTTATGAGCTTGTGGAACTTCCCAAAGGAAGAAAAACCCTGAAAAACAAGTGGGTGTTCAAGCTCAAGAAAGATGGTGACAAGATAGTCAAATATAAGGCTCAATTGGTGGTAAAGGGCCTCAGTCAGAAAAAGGGGATTGATTTTGATGAAATATTTTCCCCAATGGTAAAGATGAGCTCGATTCGCGTTGTGCTTGGTCTAGCAGCAAGCATGAATCTTGAGCT